ATATATATATTATATATATAATGTGTTGTGTGTGTATGTGTGTGGTGTGTGTGTGTGTGTGTGTGTGTGTGTGTGTTGTGTGTGTGTGTGTGTGTGTGTGTGTGTGTGTGTGTGTGTGTGTGTGTGTTGTATGTGTGTATGTGTATGTGTGTGTGTGTATGTAGGTATGTATGCATGTATTGAAACATGCATCTACGGTGGCAATATGTCCATTTTTTAAAGATTAATAACTCCAAAGTGCCTATTCATATTTGAAAAAAAAAAAAAAATAAAAATAAATATAACATAATGAAATAAAATAAAAAAACATTACGGGGTATGCATCCATGTGTTTTGACAATGTTTTTCAACCTCTCAACCTAAAATCACACATTTAGATACATACATTACATGAATACATACACAAGAACCCGCAGATGTATGCACTGTACAAACACGCGTACTCCAACCACACAAATAACTGCATTTACGGTCAAACACACTCCACATCAACTGGCATACACAAGCAAATATAAAGAGATGTTCAAGTAAACATTACAAGGAGACCAGCGTTTGTATGACTGCCAGAGTTAATGGTTAATATGAAAATTATCCTTTGCTTTCATGACTTACAGCTATTTCTCAAAAGCCTTTTTACTGTAATACTTCTAAAAATATCTCACGGTTTCATCACACGCAAACTTTGTGTGCACGTATTTTTCGTCTCTGGGCCTGGTGGTGTAGTGTTGGCGTCTGCCTGTAAACATACATATATATACACTCATGTACATACACACGCACGCACAGATGATCATATGTATGGAAACATATGTAGTCATACACATGCTCACCAACCTCCCCACACACACACACATACACACACACACACACACACATTTAGTTTACCTTAACTGGCAAATAGGGATAATAACTATAATCACAATTAAATGATAATGGAGAAAAAGAACAATAGAAATGTCGAGATAGATATATATGAATAGAAATAGATAGGTAGATAGAGACAAAGGGACAGAGAGAGAGAGAGAGAGAGAGAGAGAGAGAGAGAGAGAGAGAGAGAGAGAGAGAGAGAGAGAGAGAGAGAGAGAGAGAGGAGAGAGAGAGAGAGAGAGAGAGAATGACAGAGAGAGAGAGTAAAGGAGAAAAGAGAAGAAGAAGAATAAGATAAAGAACAAAAAGTAAAGGATAGCACATATTGATAAACAGGAATACATATAAGATTTACCGAAAGAGATGGCAAAGATAGGACACGAGAAAAAAAAAGGTTATGAAGGAGAGAAAAAATATGAATATATAAAACTTTAACCAAACCCAACACATTTTTTTTTCCAAAATAGCTATGAAAATAATAAAGCTTGTCTGCCACCAGCCAGGTACATTGCACCCTCCCCCCTTCCTCCCTCCCTATACCCCCCTCCCCTTCCCCCTCTCTCTAGCCTACCTTCCCTCTACCCTAATCCCCTCTCTCCTTCCTCCCCTCCCCACCCTTTCCCTCTCCCCCCTACACCTCTAAGCAACCCCATCCCACCCCCTCTTACCCCCCTCCCCCTCTTGTCCCCCCCCCCCCCCAGGAGAGGTGAAGGGTTATTTACTTAGCGAAGCATGAGATATTAAAATGCTCAGAACCGCTCCATAATTTTTTGAGGGTGGTGTACGGGGAGGGGTGGAGGAGGGTGGGGGGGTTGGGGAGGTGGGGTTGACAAAAGAGGAAGAAGAAGAGATGGAGGGGGAGGGAGGAGGAGGAAGGGGAGGGAGGTACAAGGAGAGGAAGAGGAGGAGGAGGAGGAGGGAAGTGAAGAAGAGAGGAGGGGAGAGGGAGGGAAGAGAGGACTAGGAAAGAGGAGGAGTTACAAGGAAAGGAGGAGGAGGGAAGTGAAGAGGGAGATAGGAAGAACAGAGGAAGGGGAAAGGGAGGGAGGGAGGATGGGAGTCAGGGAGGGAGGTAAAGATGAAGGAAAGAAAAATCATGGATAATGGAGGAGAGGGAGGAAGGGAAGAAGGAAGGTAAGGAGGGAAAAAAACAAAGGAGGGAGGAAGGAAGAAATGATAAGGGAACGGGAGGAATTAAGAAAAAAAATAGCGTACAGAAGGAGGGATCGAGAAAAGGAATAAGAAAATAAGAAAAAAAATGTAACAGAAAAGGGAAGAAGAAAAGAGTCGAGGAAAGACGGAGAAAGTGAGAACAGAGACGAGAAAGAGAGGAAGAAGCAACAGAGGAAAGAGAGAAGAAAGATGGAGAGGCGAGAGAAGGATATCAGCTGACTGAGTCTCGCCCGTAATCTGCACAAACGTTTTCCCACAAACGTTTGAACTAAGCATGTCTGTGAACGTGACCTCTGCAGCTAGTAAGTGTCTGTGGCGACTGAATAAATCTTTCTGAATACTGAGAAATGTGATGAGTAAGGCGCGATGAGTGTAAAGTGGGTTTATTTCCATTCGGGTGAGTTAGGAGGGGAGATCATAATTATGTTGATTGCTGGCTCAGTGAGAGATGACTCATGGGAGAGAGAGAGAGAGAGAGAGAGAGAGAGAGAGAGAGAGAGAGAGAGAGAGAGAGAGAGAGAGAGAGAGAGAGAGAGGAGAGAGAGAGAGAGAGAGAGAGAGAGAGAGAGAGAAGAGAGAGAGAGAGAGAGAGAGAGAGAGGAGAGAGAGAGAGAGAGAGAGAGAGGAAGAGAAAGAAAGCAAGAGACAGACAGATAGATAGGGGATAGAGAGAGAGAGAAGAGAGAAGAGAGAGAGAGAGAGAACAAGAGAGAGAGGGAGAAAGAGAGAGAAGAAGAAAGACAGAGAGGCAGATAGACAGATAGATAGATGATAGATAGATAGATAGATAGACAGAAAAAGAGAGAGGAGAGAGAGAGAAAACGAAAGAGAGAGAAAAAAAAAGAAACAAAGAGAAAATAGAGCAATAGAGGGGAGACAGACAGAGACAGACGATGTAAATGACAAACAACCCATCAAGTGTGTTGCTGTCTTCCTTTCAGCTTTGTAAGTGTAGCTATAAGAGGAGGGGGAGGAGGGGGGAGGGGCGGGGGAGGGGGGGGGGGGGAGCTCGCTAAAGTGTGACGGAGTGCACGCCAAAGTGATATATGTATGTTGTTCACTGATTCCATGAGGCCACGTGGAAGCAGACGGACAGACAAGCGAATGGACACAGATTTGGGCGTTTGTAAGTGGAGTGAGAATGACTTTTTTTGTTTTTTTTTCCATTTTCTCTTCTTTTCGATTTTTTTTTTTTTTTTATTCTCTCTCTTTTCGATTTTTTTTGTTTTTTCATTCTCTTCTTTTCGATTTTTTTTTTTTCCATTTTCTCTCTTTTCGATTTTTTTTTTATTCTCTCTCTTTTCGATTTTTTTTTTTTGTTTTTATTCTCTCTTCTTTTTCGATTCTGTTTTTTTCCATTCTCTCTCTTTTCGATTCTGTTTTGTTTTTTTCCCATTCTCTCTCTTTTCGCTTTTGTTTTGTTTTTTCCCATTCTCTCTCTTTTCGATTCTGTTTTTCGGTTGTGTGTGTTGTCTGTTTATTTGTTATGTTGTTTGTCTGTGGGTCGGTTTGGTTGGCTATGTCTATATGCTTTATTTGCATGGATTTTGTTTTGTTTTGTGTGATTCGGTGTTTGTCTGTCTCTGTCTTATTGTTTGTTTGTCTCTCTCTCTCTTTTCTCTCTCTTGTCTCTCTCTCTCTCTCTCTGTCTCTCGTCTCTCTGTCTCTCTGTCTGTCTCTTCTCTCTCTCTCTCTTCTCTCTCTCTCTCTCTCTCTCTCTCTCTCTCTCTCTCTCTCTCTCTCTCTCTCTCTCTCTCTCTCTCTCTCTCTCTCTCTTCTCTTCTCTCTCTCTCTCTCTCTCTCTCTCTCTCTCTCTCTTCTCTCTCTCTCTCTCTCTCTCTCTTCTCTCTCTCTCTCTCTTCTCTCTCTCTCTCTCTCTCTCTCTCTTCTTTTCTCTCTCTCTCTCTCTCTCTCTCTCTCTCTCTCTCTCTCTCTCTCTCTCTCTCTCTCTCTCTCTCTCTCTCTCTCTCTCTCTCTCTCTCTCTCTCTTCTCTCTCTCTCTCTCTCTCTCTCTCTCTTCTCTTCCCTCCATTCTCCCACCCCGTACCCACACCCTCTTCCAACCCATCCACCCCTCTTCCATCTCTCCTCATCTCCCTCTTTCTCCCTCTTTCTCCTTCACTCCTCCCTTGTTAATTAGGAGTCTGGTTAAACACTGCGTTCGGATGGGTGCCAATTATAAGCCCCATTCCTCGGAGAAATTGGGAAGCCACGTAAGTGCAACAGGTGGCTTACTTTTAGTCTTTTTTCTCTTTAATATGTTTTTTACTTCTTTTTTTTTGGGGGGGGGGGGTAGAAGGAGTAGGAAGAGGGAGGTGATATTGCTTTTTTTTCTTCTTTTCTTCTTCTTCTTTCTTCTTCTTCTTCTTTTTGAAGGTCGAGGAGGAAGAGGAAGTTGGTGTATATATATTTGTGTTTGTTTGTTTTGTAGGAGTAAGTTGCTATATCTTATTATCTTGTTTGTTTTAAAGGAGGAGAAAGAGAAAGAGGAAGTTGGCATCTTCTTGCTTCTCTCTTTGTTGTTTTCTTTAGGAAGTCGAGACGCTGCGGGACTTTTGTTTTTGATTTTTGAAGAAGGGAAGGAAAGTCATTATACGTTTTGTTTTTTGTTTTTGTGCGTTGTTTCTTGTTTTTTTTGTGTGTGTGTGTGTTTGTTTCATTGTTTTTTGTGTTGATTTCTTGTTTCATTGTTTTTTGTGTGTATGATTTGTTTGTTTCTTGTTTTTGTGTGTGTATGACTTGTTTGTTTGTTTATTTGTATGAGGAAAAGGTAGAGAAGTCTTGTATATGTTTATCTGTTTGTTTTCTTTTTTTTTTTTTTTTTTTTATCTATTTTTTGAAGGAAAAGGTCCAG